TTGTAATTGTTCTGTTTCTCTAACAGCAAATAAATTATTATTTGCATCGGCAATTAAAGGAATAAAAATAGTTTACGTTAATAATTAACATTAATTAAGAGAAAAAAACGACTTTTAGATAAAGTCATAAAGTAGGGGAACTTTTAGCACTTTTTAATAAAATAAGCTAACGAGTAAAATAGGCGATTATAGGCACTACACTGTATGTGTTTTCCTGAATAATTTGCATGGAATAAACACTGCGTAAACATTAAAATTCTTGCATTTTGAGTTCTATTTTCATTGTTAAAGTTTAATTTGTTTCAAGACATTATACCACTCCTGTTTTTATAATACTGTGTTTTCAAAAAATGAATGGCTTTATTAAATAAATATACTGTGCAATGATTTACAGCGCCGCAACAGTCATTATATTAACACCAAAAGAAAAAACCTACACAACAATACGCATATAGAAATAAAATTAATATTTTTGATTTTCTTTATATTACATCCAGCATGATTCTGTTAGGGTTCATGGCTGTCTATCTTCTAAAAGTTGGAAAAAAGTGTTGCAGATTTTGATGAAACATGGGTGTCAATGGAATAAAGTTTGGTTTGGTTTGCAAATGTTAAGAAGGCCGAACCAGTAGCCTTTGAAAAGACGAACGAAGGGGAAGGTATAGGATTTTGGTTAAAGATGGGACAAGAAAGATAGGAAAGTGTGAAATAATGTTTTATGGCCAGCCAACATCGAGCCCCATATATTGAGATCATAGAGTAAAGTATACATAGAATGGGTGAAGGCCCAGTTAATACCGAGTGTGCGCTTTGTTCTTGGAGTAGATACATTAAGAAATAAAAAATAATAATGATGATGATAATAATAATAAAAAATACATAGGATGTTCTCCGATCTTGGTGTATATACGTTAAAATAAATAATAATAAATAAGAATATAACGTTAAGAAAAACGAAAAATTTACACGTCTGGTACAAACTTTATTCTGACAATTGAATGTGGCAGAAAACAATGAGAAGAGATCGCGACAACAGAACAGCAAACACAGTGATTTCACTGCCCTGGAAGTCTCTGTAGACCTAAAAGCTGACTTGCTACAGGTAATTGGAGGTGGATTCCCTTAGACGGGGTCTCCTTTTACAGAACCAGGGGTCAAAACCCTGTTGACGCGAGAAAGAATAAATTATACAAACACATTTCACGAAAAGGGCACGTGTAGATTAGTTGTGGGCCCCCATAAGAGTACATGGTCGTTGGCTTGAAGCTGGACTAGAGGAAAAGACTGGGACCGTGATCCCTGTTCCATTTATGAAGTCTTTAAAAGCTGAGAAAGTTTCAGCGTTGCATAAAAAGTCCTTACACTTACAGGGCTAACGGTGTCACTGTGTGTACATCCTCTGCACTAGGAGTTTACGGTGATTGTCATGTTTTAGGCAGTTAAACAATACATGGTACAGTGTTTCTTCTACTCCACAGTCACAAATGCCATTTCCCTTGTTCAAGAACCTTTTCAGATATTGTTTAAAATTACCGTGACCAGTAATAAATTGGGTAGTACGAAAGTCTGGTGTAAAGTGTTCCATGTTGTTCCTTACTTTTATGTCAGTAAAAAAGTCAAAGATGTTCCTGACAGTTGTATCCATATTCCACTTCTCCTGCCACCTGTTGGCAGTGCAGTCGAGCAGTTGGCTTTTAACCCAGCTATGGGGTACAAGCTTGAAGGAAGAATTGGTTAGGTTTTCGCTAGCTTTTTTCGCAAGAAAGTCAGCTTTATCATTGCCGGCTTCCCATGAATGCCCTTTTATCAATTGTAGGTTGATTTTGATTTGTTTGTTTTTTAAGTTGGTAAGCATGTGAATGATATCCTTGATTATTTTTAGATTAGTATTCAGAGATTTTATTTGGGTTAAAGCCACTTTGCTATCGCTGAATATAGTAATTTGCTGCTGTGTTTTACCCTTTATATTATTGTGGTCATGTCGCAGGGCTTTAGGAACGGCTAAGCTTTCAGCCTGATTTATTGTACGAAATGAGTCCAATTTGAAGTAGGCCTGGTAGACTACCCTGTTACGGTTGTCTAAGATCAGCATGGCTCCCACTCCCTGTATAAATGGTTGTGGCGATGGTTTGATAAATAGCTCTAATTTTATTGTATTTTATTCACGAACATTGACGATGTACTGCGTAATCGTTGAATCATCTGATATGCTATATACAAAAGACCTAAAATTGAACTGAAAGAACAGAGTAGGAATTTAGTGCCTGTGTATGTCTTAGCTTTAGTCATGTCTTTCATTCTGTTTTCCTGTTTACTTGTTTCGTTTCTGAGAACAGTAAGCTAACGCGCCGTCTTATTTACTCTTCTGCCTCCGAAAAGCTTGGTATCGTGTAGGACGTGACACGAGAGTGCCGGTATTAAAACGCGAATTGAAGCACGTAGAAAGTGCCGTCCTTTTCCGCAAGTGATGCCGGATTGGCTAGAGCCAAATGTATATTCTTAAATTAAAACTACCAATTCGAATTCATCTTTAAAATTTAAGTACGTGAATTATAGGAGCTGAGTGATACATAAATGTAATAAACAAAAATATAAACTATATACACTCCTAAAAAGTGTAAATGCAAAATCACGAAGGAATGTGCGTAGCCACGAATTTGCAAACCGGTAGATTCACCTGAACCGGTCCCGCAATGTGCATATGGGTACGCGCTTTCCTTCGTGGTGTGGCAATTTCACTTTTAAAAAGTTATTCATAACTGATTACATTTATTTTTTTACAGTGGATGATATATTCTTTTGTTATGTTTTTGTCACTGATTGCTGCTCTGTTCTTTTTTGTATTCTTCGAATCCCCATTGAGTAGTCTTCTGTCCAACGTGCTAAGAAATAGAACATCGCAAAAAACAGTAACTCCAAATCAAAACATCACGGAAATGAAGACAGGCAAGAATTCAAAAATTTTTGTTGTGTGATAAACATTACAAATTATATTAACATTACATGTGTTGATAATATAAGACTCTGTTAATTAAATAACTTTAAACATATTTAGTATATGATTTATTATGATAATGTCATATGTCTCGCGAGCGGCATAAGTTTATTAAGACGTTTATTGCGGTTATAATATACTTATATGATTTCTTCTTGTAAACTTGGTACATACCACTCGCACATATGTAATCTTTTTATAATTTGTCTGACTGTTATGTTTTATAATATACACAGAGATTGTAACTATAACTCGAAGTTAACCTCCAACAGGGCAAATGCAACCTTATGGTACTAAGTTAAAAGGAGTTGAATAATTGTTAATCTTGTTAGTATATAAGAAACGAATAAAAAAATAGTGATATTTGCTATGAAACTTTGATAACTACAATATTTTATCTATGTATTAATATCATAATTACGTGATGCGGCTATCCTGTATTTCTGACAAGCAGTGTATGTCTCCTACCGTTTAACGTTTAGAAATTGCATATACTCCGTAAAACGACCAAAATGTATGTGCATATAGCTTTTATGTTAGGCTTTCCTCGAGATTTATAGTAGTTCTTGTTAATGTTAGACTTTTCTCCATACAAGAAAAGACACCTTCAGTTATAATCTAACAACCTTTACTTATAAATTATTAAACAAACAAATACGGGAGACTTAGTTATGCATAACATACTCCACTTTAGCTTAACAGTTCTAAAATAGCTAAAGTGACCAGACGTAATGATTCTACAGATTGTGTTCTGATTTCGAATACGTACTAAATTTGAAAGTTTCGCTGATTAAATAAGAAAAAAAAATGCCAATTGGTTCCCGTAGCAAACATTACATCCTCTCAACCTATAATTGACTGCCACTGAAAAAACGTTTTAGTCTCGAACCTTGTATTTTCTCAATAACTATCCTCAGTCTTATTTCCGAAATAATGTTATTCAGACAATATTATTGTTGCGTATGTCACATGAGTAACAAATTTATAATTAATGCAAACGATATTGTTTGTTTAAGCTATATTATTGGTTCTCAAACTTTTTTGATTCTCGACGCCTTTGCTAAATCCAGATTTTTTTGAAGGCGCCTTATGTCAAATTATGACAAATACGATTTGAGAAATAGAGAAATAGCCAATATTTTTTAATTAAAGAGTTAGGACGTTAAGTAAAATATAAAGAAAACACGTACAGTCGACCCCCTATAACGTGCGTTCCTATAACGACAATTCCTATAACGTAGCGAAAAAATTGTAGCAACATTCGTATAAAGTATCTCCTATAACGTCGTTTCGCGACAAGATTGATAGAATCTGGACCAATAGTTGATGAGCAGCCGAACTACTTTCCTCCAACCCTGCGCCACGCTACAGAGCGGCTAAATTGAGCTTGCTATTGTCTGTACAGTATTATATATAAATTATATATATATTAGGTACTGTATATATAATTATATATTAACTTATTGTAACTTTATTATAATTAAATACATAATTTCCGCCGTCTAGCGTTGCGCCACGCTACGGAGATTTTAGGCAATAAGTTGAGTTTATTATCGTCTGTACAGTATGTAAATTAGGTACCGTNACGGCATAACACTACAAAATTTTTACCGTAGAAGTTAGAAGTAGGTCCGAATCTGCCAACGAACTTTCGTAGAGTAAAACTCTTCAGTATTTACTTTATTGCCTCTAAAACCAGAAGGCGGCTATTGTGCAAAAGTACGTTAATATGCTTGTCGAATCGATATCAAAACTCTAATAATTAATTTTTAATATACAATGTAAGGAAACGGAGTAAATACGAAGCAATGAATGGATGCGGATGTTACGGAACTTTGAAAACTCGATTGTTCTGAATTATGACGTAACATCTTTGTCTACTCACGTGTTTTAAGTTATGTTAAGTTACGAATAAAAGACATTTTTGTAAACACGAAATTAAACATAAAATTAAAACATAACGGTTAATTTGTATTAAATAATTTTTTAATTTTACAATTCTTAGATTCATTCGTGGACAGTTTTCGTTTGGAATCCCTACGAAACGCAATGGACATCTACGGCATCAGCAAACGATACCGGATCGAAAAACTTTTTGTAGAATGTCAATCTTTCATAATTTACGACTTGAACTTGTCAAATGTTTGCCGAATACACGATTTCGCTTGCGAACAAATGGACAGATGGCTGCAGTATCACTGCTGGGAATTTTTCGATGAAGAATGGAAAGAGATATTTCTCGCGGACGACTTTTTACAATGCAAAAGGACGACGATCGACCGATTACTCTCTCGTCCCGTTTACGAATCATTAACGGAAGTGTCTTTGTTCCTCGCAGTTTACAACTGGGTGAAAGTTCGTCTGCAACGACGAGCGGAAGTAAGTGGAGAATTGCCTCCGAACGACGCTACCCAAATGGAAAGATGTAGAATAAACATGGAGCCGTTCATTCCCAAAATTCGGTTTCTGGCCATGAGTGAGAAAGAGCTGAGAAATGTGGTATTCCCTTTGAACTGTTTAAGCGAAGTAGAAAAACAAAGCATAACAAAGTCCGAGCAAAGATGATCCAAAAATTTATCTTCTCTGAATAATGTCCTGTTGGACATTATTCAGAGAAGATAAATTTTTGGATCATCTTTGCTCGGACAGAAGAAAGAGGAACGAAAGTAGTTTCAAGGAATGGTTTATTTACGAAAAACAGGCGCCGTATACACCCAACGATAGCGATCTTAACAGCATATTTAGCACAAAGATAAGAGTGATGGAACACTGCTTCGTACAGACTCTGAAACTACCTTTACACCATTCTCATAGAACAAGTATTCCGTTCAATGTAGAAGGATACGTCAATTTTGCCTCCAACCGATTACAATCACAAAAGGAGTTTTGTAAACCCGATGGAACCGTAGATTTGGACTTTCCCATTTTTGTGGAAAAGAATTCGTCCCTGAGATTGTCTGTTTTCTTCGACGTTGAGGAGATTCGTAAAGTTTACGAAATATCGTTAAATATCCGTCCCGCCAATCACAGATTCTTCAGTCGCTTTGATCCCGATGCTCGAACTTTTGAAGAATCTTTGGGATTACAAGAGAACCAATTCTACAACGTGTACTTCGACGTCGTCTTGTATTTTTGAAGTTTCGCTTTCATTTTCAAGTTTTATGAATATTTTCTAAATTTATTGAATAGATTTAAAAAATTCCTTATTTCTTCGATGTTTCTTTAATATTGCCCGACGAAAGTGGATTTATTTGTAGATGTGAAATAAATTATAAAGTTATCGCAAGCCAGAGACGGTGTAACTTTTTTTCAACTCGTTGACGTTTAGATAAAGTGGTCGGAAAAAAGTGACGATTAGTGGTGAGTCTTGTGTGCGTCACGTCATAGTTGTGTTGAGTTCCTTACTCTTTTTTAACTTATTCGATTGTATCGTAACATGTTATAGGTGAGGAAGTGTCCATGTCATTCTGGCAGTTAATGCAATTGACTATTGCAAGAGATGGCTTCACAATTACTAACAAGGGATTTTTGTGAAGAAATCGTTCTTCAATCTTGTATATTATTGTTTTACGTGTTTTATTTCATTCGACGTGCAAAATTTGATTATTTTTGCACTTGCATCGACTTGTTTTTTACGCTAGTGAAAAGTGAATTGGGTTGTACCGCAATGACATTGGAATTTTTCTTCTCATTCTCTATGCTAGAGACAGCAAGAAAAATATTATTTTATGTATTTTTATTTGAGAAGTCATCTGCAATGTCTTCACTCTATAAACGATCGCAGTTTACTTGAGAAGGTTTATAATCTCTGTTATATTGGTGTTTATTTTCCACGCGATCTCACATAACATTTCTCACTAACCTATTTACAGTTAGTTTAATAAAAGTTTCTTTCCTTATTGTTTTCCTTCAGGCCAGTTACAGATAAATAAAATACTTAATTTACTTTTGTATTTATGTTAGCATTCCTTAGTTATTATACGCACCGTCTTAAATTTAACGTAGGCCTATAGTTATGGATACAAATCATCTCTTGGCCATAGTGAGGAGTTATTGCTAAAACAATTGAAATAGTTTTATTTGGGTATAGAACACGATAATCGAAACCTGGCAAGTAGAGGTTCCAACAACATTGCATAATAATTTTGTAAATTCTTTTAAAAGTTCGAAGTTGATTTTCTAATTGCTTAAAAACTAAATTAAGTTATCCAGAATTTAATTTATTTTCGGGTATTACTTGATAAGACCGTATACAAATACTTTGATGCTGGAAAAATCATCAAATGGAAAATCTTCATTTTAACCCTGCAAATAAAATGAACAACATTTTTTATTCGTGGAATTAATTTTTCGAAGCGTGAGGAAGATTGTTAAAAGACAAAAGGACGTAAAAGAGTGAAAGCATTTATTTTTAGTATCGAAAAAAGTATCACAGTGATAGTGATTATCCTTTATAATTTCTGCAAAGCTAGTTTGATGCTTTTACTTTTGTTTGTTTCGGTTTGAAACACGCAATTTAAATCCTCGTAATTTGTGTAAAACGTTTTCGTTTTATATTTATTTTATAAAAATATTTGTAAAAAATTATAAATGCAGAAGTAGGGAAATACGTTAGAAATTTCATTTCTGAATGAATTATATCAGTTAAATTTACGAAATTCTTTAATGAAACTTTTGTTTTTAGCATTATTTTTCTGAAGGCATTCAACAGTTCTTGCAATTTATTTCACATCGAAATATTTAAAGTTATAATTTTAACTATTTTTAACGGAGTGTAAGAAGAGTTTCTCATAAGTCAAAAAGTGTTTTGTATGGGATCGAAGTTCAAAATTACTACGTAACAATTAAATATGGTTTATTTGAAAATATGCGCAACTTGGCAAGGCCAACATGGTGACCTAGCGGAAATTTTGAAATTCTATGAGCCGAGATAATCGAGGTGAAAAATCTCCATATAAAGTCTATGGGCCAATTAGCGATTGTCAGTTTAAAGCAACAGCACGACCATTAACACGAGATTTAACGGGCAAATACAAAGTGTTCCGAAATAATAGAGACACTATGAAATGATTACATTAATAAAAAAATAATATGCGCAATGTGGAACCGATTTCCATACAGACACAGTTTGTTAATGTCGCTACTGAATCAATATAGAGCTTAATGATTAACATGTAATTAGTCACCTCCTTAACCTAATTGGTGTAACATGCTCCTGACTTTGAAGTGTTTTGCATTTGTCTAAGTCAAACTCCATTTGTATGTCCTTGGTGTATGAGTGTGTGATTTAAGGTGTGTTTTAAATTTATACGGACACGAAAAAATTAAAGTGAAACTTAAATTTGCTGCATTAAGTGACAAATGTTTTATTAAAAATAACATGGATTTACATGTTTCCACACTGCAAAATAAGAATTTTAATCAAACATTAACATTTTGTCACTGAAAATAATATTTTCGAAAATTTTGTACAAAGATACTGTTACATATTTATCTGGATAGGTTTCAAATTCCAGTTTTCTTAGAGCCGCCGCAAACTACAGAATGCAGGAGCTAGCGTACGCTCGCTCGCGCTCCTAAGCCCCGCCTTTTTTCCCATGATGCTATGAGCCATTTTGCTAGGTAAGCTACGCGAGCACGAAGCAGCCGCAAACTACACAACGTTTGCTCGCGTAACGTATTTCACATGACGTGGATTCCACAGATGTAGATTGGCTATAGAACAAGATTTTATTATAACCTATACTTGTAATCAGTCAGTTTTCGTTCCGAACTTAGAAACGGCATGGAAAAAAACATGTTTACTAGTTAAGCCTGACTAGCCGAAAACAATTTATACTGTATATTACTATTTACATACAACGGTTATAGTATTTTCTTTTCAATAATGAATGTATTAATCATGTAATTTACGTACATAGATAAAATTCTATTATTTCTTTTTCGATATGTGACATGTTTATGTAGTCATCCGTCTTCCCCACTGTCTCTTGCTAGCGTAAATGCTCTAGTTGTTGAATTCTGTGAACAGCGAGCGTACTCTCGTATCGCTGCGCTAGCGAAAGAAAAACAGCGCGGGCAAGAAGACAGGGGCGAGGCCTTTCACGTCATCGGATGTGCTAGCGCACGTTTGCTAGCGTTTTGCTATCGCAAAGCGCTAGTTTGCGGCGACTCTTACAATTAAATTCCAATGTAACCACCATTTAACTTAATTACATTAAATACTCGATTAGGCATTGTTTCAATTAAATTCTGAAGAAATTCAATTTTAAGTTCATCCCCAGTATTTGAAATTACTGCCTTCGAATCATGAATTGTGGGAAAACTGCTTTCCATTGGCATAAACTGTACGAACCATCATCCCCCAAAGATTTTCCACGGGATTCAGGTCAAGGATTCTAGCAGGCCATGTCATCAGATTAATATTTTTACGTTTAAACCACATTTGGTCCAGTTTCCAATAAATGATCTTCAAGCATGCCTCGATACTTCTTTCAATTCATTCTATGAGTTATAAATGCTAAATCTGTGGTTCCATTGAATCAAAATGCACCCCACACTATTATTGATCCCCCACCCATTTGATATTTTGAAATATATGTTTTTCGGTTCTTAAATCTTGCCAATAATACTTTCAACCGTCTGGACCATCTAAGTTGAATTGTTTTTCATCACTGAACAAAACTTCAATCCATTCTTTGGACTATGCCTTCTGTTTTTGTGCCCAATCAAGTCTGTCACTTTTGTGCTTTAATGAAAGTGGCGGCATTATTGCTTTTTTTGTGAATTTTAACGTTGGAGATTTATTTAAAACTCTCCACACTGTTGTGCTGCTGCAAGGTAAGTCTAATTCTTGTTTTATTTTTCTTAGTGATGTTTGTTTTGTGGAGCAAACGTAGATGATTTATCTTCAATCTCGAGGTATAAGCTTAAGTTTTGGATCTGTCTTGAATTTTGGTACATCCTAGCTACGTCTTTTTGATAAATAATCACCAACAGTTGATTTTGGGTGATTTATATATGCTGAAATTTATCTTATTGACTTGCCTTGTGATTTATAGGCATCAATCTGCTCTTTTTCATAATCAGGTAAATTCTTCGTTCTACCCATTTTAGATCGTTGAACAACATAAAGAGTTTGTATTACAATTATTTATGTAAGCTGATTTGCATATTTCAATGCTTAAAACTAAACAATATTCTATTTAAGTAATGAAATGAGTGCCTGTCCGGATAAATATGTAACAGTTTTTTTGTACAAAATTTTCAAAAATATTATTTTCAGTGACAAAATATTAATGTTTGACTAAAATTCTTATTTTGCAGTGTGGAAACAAGTAAATCCACGTTATTTTTAATAAAAGATTTGTCACTTAATGCAGCAAATTTAAGTTTCGCTTTAATTTTTTCGTGTCCGTATAAATTTGAAACACGCCTTATAGGAGCTGCTAAAGTTGTTTCTGTGTGGATGCATAAGTTTTATGTCGTCCATGTACATGAGATGTGACAGAGTAAACTGTGTTGTTTTTTCATGTCTGATATTGTAGCCATATTGTGTGTTGTAT